TGCAGGAACAGGATATGGGTACTATTGCAACTGCAGAAATACAGAGCTAGAATCGTGCCAGGCAGCTGCTGCAGCAGCTACTTGGGTAGCAAAAAGGACAAGTGACTAAATGGATCACATGCAGACTAATTTCATATATTCAAACCTATTTTATACGCATTCCTCTTTCTCTTGGAGCAGACTGTGAATGGAGCTGTACACAAACCACAGAATTGCTGAAGATGAGGCAAAGCATCAAAACAGCATCAGCACTGGAGCAAGCCCTGTCTGCTTATGTGATGGCAGTCTGCTGAGCAAACAGACCGCTGACAAAATGAACTCACTTCTTAACAAGCCTCCAAGCAAGACCTCTACTTGCTTTGGACAAAAGTGCTTGCAATGGGATGACTTTCCTTCAGAGATTGTTCACCAGAGTCTGGCTTTCTCAAGGGAAGTGTTGGCTCTGATTTAGGCCAGGCTGGCAGAACAGCATGCATCCCATCCATCCTGTGCTGCATCAGCAATGCCTTCTCTCACAGATCTCTTCTTTCACTCCTCGCTTCTCTTCCTGCAGAATGGGAGCGGAGCACAACTACCTGGTGTGTGTTAGTTTCTCTCATTTCACTCCTGCTCTCTGGCTTTTTACATCTCATAGCCTTCTCCCATGAACAGGACATCTTCCTCTTCTTTTCAAAGGTTGCAGCTCCTCCCGATGTCTGCTGATCTCTAAGGATGCTAAATAATCAGATGTGCAGGCCTCTTCCCAGAGAACTCTAGATGCAGCAACGTCCCTTCTCTGCATTTGTCACGTTACTGCTCCTACACACATCTAAATTCAGCTCCATCAGCTCTCAAATTTAACTTCAATGTGAGCAGCTTGATTTGGCTTTAGCAATGTAAGAAGAAAATTCCACTTACAGTTCTGCCCAGTGCTATGTATTGCATTGCCAGAGTACCGTCACCCAGCACGCTCTCCCCTTATAGCAGCTGTACTGCATCAATCCACCCAGCAGGAGGGTCAGCATTGCTCCCAGTAAAGAAGAGTTTTAGTGAGCTGAAGCAACCATCCAGCCAACAGCAGAGACAGAGTCAGATTCCTGGGTCCCACAAAGTCATCTGTCAGCATCAGACTTGGAGAGCTGGATAAGCTGTTCAAAGAACCCCACTTTGACCTTGGATGCCCAGGTGGGTTATATATTAATGCAGGTACACCTCAGCCAGCATGGAAATACCAAGATCTCTAGCTGCACACGCTGCAGAACTGTATTCTGGCAGCACGAAGTTGATAACTGATTTTTAAATTATTTTTTACTGAGCTAGTTGTTGAATAGTGCTGGTTCCATGTTAAGGAGAGACCAATAAGCAGGTGGCAATACAGAACAGATCATCTAGAGGCATTTTCCTTCAGATATCTGTAACTATAAACCAACTATTATCAGCTTTGCTCTACTGCCAGTAAATAATTAACTGCAAAAGCATACTCCTCTCAGCCCCATCCTCCTCAATCAATCTGGCTTCAGGACTACATGCTGCCAGGACTGCTCACTATAGCAGTGCACTCAAAGCATTTCACATGACAGAGAAATGGTGTGACTTCATTATTTCAGCGGAGACCTTTCCTTCCCAGTACAAGGGGGTGTCATCATGTACCTCCTGTACTTACAGCAGAAAAGTACAGCATATTTCATTTAGAAGGTGTATCAGTTGCATGAAGATGTAAAAACCGGTCTGCCATTTGATCCTGGTCATTCTTTTAGAATATAAAGACAGTAGATAATTCAGTCAAAATCACATTAAAAAGGCACAGGGAGAGCACAAGCAAAAATAAGTGCTGGAAAAACACTCCAGAATTGTGGAAACACCCTTCTCACAACAGCCAGAATGCCAGGGAGAGGCAGAGCAGCTCTGCCACTGAGCAAACGTCTTCATACAGTCACTGGGTTTAGTTCAGCTGGCGACAAAGAGTTCAGTCAAAATCTCCACCACGGTGGAGTAAAAGGGGAAAATGGCTACATTAGACTCAAAAAGAGAGGCTTAAAAAATGAGGCAGATGAAAGAATGTAAGAAAAACCACGAAATAGTGAGAGATAACAGTATGGGAAGGAAAAAAAATAAGTGAAACAGACACCAAGAACAGCTCAGGAAGAGAGAAACCATGAAAAATTAGAATGAAAAGTAGAAAGACAGTGAGAGAAAAGAGGAATGGGACTGGACAGAGCAGCTGACCAGCACTTAGCATATGTCATTTGTTTAATCTCATCATATTTGTCAAATAATTTACTTGCTTAATATTTCTTTTTGGCTTCCAATGAGCCATAAAGCTGATGAAATATCATTTTGTACAATTAAAAGCATTGAATACATTCGGCTCTTACTGATATTAGTCTAATAATACATTTATCTGCTGGCTCTAAGTTTACACTTGGAAAAAAAAAAAGAAAATGTTAAAAACAAAGCTGGTAATAAATTACAATTAAGTGCAAGTGCTTGGGGTGCAACTGGGTTGCCCAAAGCAGAGCAGCACAACACACCTTGAAAGATGGCAAGCAGGGGCTTGGCTAGCATTCCTTCCCATTCCCTTCTTCATCAGGAACTCTAAGCAGGGCAGCCTTTGCCTCAGTTTTTACTGTGGTGATTTTTTTCCCTCGTATTCAACTTCAGAAGGCTCTTTTCACTCAGAAGCATGAAGTTTTGGATCCCAATGACAAATGCTGTGGACAGCCCAACCTGGATGAGTGGGAAGGCTAGAGGACATCCATGCTGTTGGGCTGTCATCTTGGGAATTAGATGTTTGGAAGCTACACTTCACCTCCTCAAAAGGTTGGGGAAGTTTGGTGGAAGATAGCAATGTGGCAAACGGTGCTTTAGTACTGCTGCTCTCCCAAGGAATGCATCCTGAGTGCCAGCAGCCTGCTTTTCACTGCTTCTCAGGAGAGCCAAGAAGAGAAATCAAGCTGCAGTTGTCAGCCTGCTTCTTCCTCCCTGGTTCAACAGAGTTCCCTCGTGATGGTTTGTGCACAGAACCTCCTTCAGAGCTTCACAGCATCCCCTTTCAAGCGACTCACAGAGCCCACAAAAGAGCCTCCCTTAGGCCTTTGGTCTTGTTTCAACATCATGGCATGAGTGTGACCCCAAATGGAGCTCATTATAGCTAATTACTAAATCACTTAGCACAAACACAGAAGGTATGACCACACTGATGTTCACGTGGAGATCTGGAGGCTGTGCTGACAGCACCCACCTGGCACAGCCCAGCAGTGACAGCCACCAGCCTGCAGGCCCACCAGCAGGCCGAACTGGGAATTCCCTCAGCTCTGTTTCACCCTGCTGCTGAAACAACACAGTTTGCGTTGTTAATCAGACCGGGACTGCACCGGAGGAGTGGGCTGCAATGCCTGGCTGCATGAAGGGGGGACAGATGGCTTCACAGCCGCAGCTCTGTTACAAGCGCCGCAAAAACCACACAAGCTTTCATTCTCCAGCTGCAAAACCAGAGCACTTCAGGATAAATATACCAGCAATTCTAACCAAAGCAGCACCCATATCCCCTTATCCCTGATGGTCCGGGTAGCAGGAGGAAGAGCAGCCTCAGCACGGCCCCGTGCTGGCACAAGCAGTCAGGGTGAGCGCATCCCTCCCTGCTCTCCTGCACAGTGCCAGTGTCCGAGGTGCACAGTTCTGTGCATGCTTGTGTCAGGCTCTGCAGAGGAGCGCAGCCTATGGGAGCTCGTGCCTATCGGGCACTGCCGGGAGTAACTGCACGGAGCGACGGAGACAACTTCAGGTACGGAACCGCACAGCTCTTCCTAACGCTCCAGCCTCCATCCGCCCTTCTCCAGGCACCCCGGAGCTCGCAGCCCCCCTCGATTCCTCACCGGCTCTTTTGTCTACGGCCGACCGAAGCCCATCCCGCGCGGATGCGGGCGGGCCGAGCCTCCCTCCCGTCCCGCAGAGCCTCCTTCCCACCGGGCCTCCCGCGGGCTCCTCCCCGCGCGGGTGCAGCCGCGCCGCAGCGTCCCTCGGAGGAAGGCAAGCGAAGGGAGGCGCCGCCGGCCCCGCAGCCGCACGCCCCGCGCTCCGCCACCTGCGGGCCGCCCCTGGCCCGGGCACCGCCCGCAGCGCGCCGCGAAGGCGGGGACGGCCCCGCGGTGGGGGTGGGGGGGGG